AGCAAGATAATCAATAGGATGATAATCAATGGGATGATAATCAACTAGAAGATGAAATTGGTATAGGTTTTAGAGGAGAAATAGAAAATAGAGAAGATATTAAACCAGGGTTTGAAGACTATGTAGATGATGAAATGGACAAAATAATAATTAGTTTAGAGTCTGGGTATAGCAAGGAAAGAAATAGAAAAAATGAAATAGACGAAGAAAGAATTGATAGAATTGAGGAAATAGACGAAGAAAGAAGTAATAGAATCAGTAAAATAGATGATCAAGCAGATGAAGATGAAATAGATGAAACAGGAGAGGTATATATTGTATATAATATGACTATATACATTTTAGAGTTGTGGGTGAGGCTTAGTTTAAGCTTACTATAGTTTTAGCTTACTATAGTTTCAGCTTAAGTTTATTTTTTTTACAGCATTCAACAAATTTTCACCAATTTCACTGCAACTTCAAAGTTTCACCAACAACTTTAATATGTATATATATATAATATATGCTGTAATATGTATTAATATATTTTAAGAGATGTAACACAATCTATAATTATGCTTAGATGATCATTGTGAAATGCCAATTGTTTGAGGTTGAACTTTCATTAGTTTTCAAGTCACTTGATATTAGATCGATAAACACTGAGAATATATCAAATTTTCCGAGTGATGAATTTGGTAAATTTATAAAATTAATTATTAAATGGAATTTGTCTAATACTTGTGGTAGTGATATACTGCGTTTTTTAAACAAAGTATCACGTGATGACATGATCTTGCCTACTTCAATTCAACAAGGGAAGATAAAATTATGGTTTCATATATTTCTTTTAAGAAAGTACCAATAATGGAATATGAAGAAGAAACATACTATTTAAATTACCGTCCAATCTTTGACTGTATTAAGAAATTATTAACTAATAAGGACATACTTAATCATTGTGTTTTTAAATTTACACCATTGTATCATGATGAACAACGAATATATAATGAACAGTTTAATGGAGAATGGTGGGAAAAAGTACTAAAAACAATTCCCAGCCAAGCAAAAGTTCTATTGATAATACTGTATTCTGATGCAACAACATGTGATCAGCTTAAAAAAACGAATGGACATCCTGTTTATCTGACATTAGGTAATATTTCTAGTAGGAGGAGGAATAAACCTGACACTAAAGCTCTTCTTGCTTATCTTCCTATCATAAAACCAAAAAAGTTACACAAAAAAGTTCTAGCGATTTTTTATTTGCAAAACAGTTTGCATACCAACATTCTTGGGATGTAGTTTTAAAACTAATACTTGATTATAAGGACAATGGGTTTGATCTTCAGATGAATAATGAAGATATATAGTGTTACCCATTTGTTTCAGTCTTTTAGGTGACATTCCGGAACATTCATTGTTAATATTAACATATAATTCTGTTAATTGTAAATATCCATGTCACAGATGTATGGTATCAGTTGACAGAATGAATGATATTAAGTTAAACGATAACCAAATTATTTCAAAAACCCCGAACAAATGAAAATTATTATAAATCAAGGTTTTAAAAAACAGCATTTTATATACAATATGGAAAACATATTCTGGAAATATCCATAAATATATATATTTTTTAATGTAACTTTAAATTTTATAATATATATATATAATACTATACTTATTTAATAAATATTAGCTAATTAAATATTTACCTGGCTACAATTCCAGATAAGATGCATCACTTAGACCTAGGCTTGTTTAAATACCAAGTGGAGTACACCCGTGACTTATTAAATAATACTTGTGAAAAAATAGGAATTGATGAACTTGACAAGCAGTTAGTAAAAGTTTCAAGATTTCCTGAACTTAAAGTGTTTAATAAAGGTCTTGGAAATATCAAACGCTTTACAGCTGATGAATTTCACATTATGATGAAGGTGTTTCTTTTTGTAGTTGAAGGAATTATCATAAAACATCATAAAATATCAATTGAAGAAAGTGTAGCAAACCGATATGATCATGTATTAGTTGATGTTTATTACCGTTGGAATAAGATATATTTATTTAACCGAAGAGAATATTTTTTAGAATCAGATCTTGTTGAATTTAAAGTAAAAATTTATTTATATTTATTATTTTTAATTTATTAATAATATTAATCAAATTAATCTACTATATTACAGAATTTAATTATAGATTGGGCAAAATTATTCATTAAACTTTTAAAAGTTACTCACTATTGGAGCTTCGACTACCTAAATTGCATAATTGGTGTTATCATACTATCGAATTTATTAAAAAGTTTGGTGCTATTAATGGTTTTACTACAGAAACTTATGAAACTTTGCACAAAAACTTTGTAAAAAAACCTTATAAAGCTAGTAATAAGTGTAATGCTACTAACCAAATAATTCAAACAGTTAGTGTATATTTTGGTTTAATTTTATTTTATTTTTTTTAAATATTAAGGTGACCACTTAGGCCCTTGGCACTTTATTAGTACAAGCAGTAGGCCAATGTTAA